TGAAGTAAGTCAGAAAGAGAAAAACAAATACCGTATGGTAACACATATATATGGAATCTAAAAAAAAGTAAAAGTGGGGCTTCCCTGGTGGCGCAGTGGTTGAGAGTCTGCCTGCTAATGCAGGGGACACGGGTTCGAGCCCTGGTCTGGGAAGATCCCACATGCCGCGGAGCAACTAGGCCCGTGAGCCACAACTACTGAGCCTGTGCGTCTGGAGCCTGTGCTCCGCAACAAGAGAGGCCGTGATAGCGAGAGGCCCGCGCGCCGCGATGAAGAGTGCCCACCGCTTGCCACAACTAGAGAAAGCCCTCGCACAGAAACGAAGACCCAACACAGCAAAAATAAATTAATTAATTAATAAACTCCTACCCCCAACATCTTCTTTTAAATAAATAAATAAATAAATAAAAATAAATAAAAGTGGTTCTGAAAAACCTAGGGGCAGGACAGGAATAAAGACACAGACGTAGAGAATGGACTTGAGGACAACGGAGAGGGGGAAGGGTAAGCTGAGATGAAGTGAGAGAGTGGCACTGACATATATACACGACCAAATGTAAGGTAGATAGCTAGTGGGAAGCAGCCGCATAGCACAGGGAGATCAGCTCGGTGCTTTGTGACCACCTAGAGGGGTGGGATAGGGAGGGTGGGAGGGAGACGCAAGAGGGAGGGGATATGGGGATATATGTATTCATATAGCTGATTCACTTTGTTATAAAGCAGAAACTAACACAACAATGTAACGCAATTATATTCCAATAAAGATGTTTAAAAAATATTTTTAAATAAAAGAAGGCAACATAGATTTGAAGAAAAAAGCTTTCAAAAGAACAGTGGTACTGTCTTGGCTGTATTGAACTAAAACAAGCTGGCTAACAAGATATCTTGAGTTCTTTTTCTGAGTGAGTGACTGGTCTAAGGATCTTTTGCAAATTGTGTAAAATGTATTCACTATCTCAATACACCCTTTAAATAAACGGGGAAATGTTTTCCCCCCCTAGATAATACTCCGAGAGGCAAGCTTTAACTGACTCGTGATTATCGGAACACAGGGAAGAACACGAATGACTCAATTTTCACACTGTGATAACAAGATCTTACATGTGTGTTAACCTGACTTTTCTGGAGTGCTTCCCACATCGTGGATATGGCCCATGCATGGAATCTGAATTAAGACAGCGTATCTCAGACAGGCTGAGCCCGGACAAGTCTGGATAAGAAGCCTTTTGGGAAGAGGGTAAAGGATACAGACTTAGGTTTCAGACTCAACTCATGACACATTATAATTCAAAAACCACTCTATTTAGTTAATGCTTAACTAGGAATCTACCATGTACAATCACTGACCTAGGCCAGTGGGAACTCCAAGGAAGTGTTATATGATATTCCTTGAACTTAAAGAAACCCACTTTCTCTTGTTTTCTTACGGCATTAAGATAACAATTAGAGAACATGGCAAAAGACAGTCAAGTATATGGGAGAGACAATAACTCTTAATGGAGTTTAGGAATAGCAGAGTTGTGTACTGGAAACAGATTTTTCCAGAACAGGTGGGATTGAGCAAAGTTTGGTTTTGATTATTGGGGATGGGGGTGGGTGGATGGGAGGAAATAACAAAGGGAAGTCTGGACAAGGACAATGTGCCCCAGGTGCAGGAAGGGACAGACCTCCTGTTGCTCTCTGAACCAATGCCTGCCCCTGACCATCTCTGGGTTCTTGTGAAACTAGTGCACCAGCTTCTCCTCTCCCATGAGGCCTTCCCAGACCCTCCTCCGTCAGAACTGAAGACCTCTTCCTCTGTCCTCCAAGCACGGTACCTGTGCCCCTTCCATGGCACACACTTCGTCTCATCATCAACTAAGGTCGCTATGTGTCTATTTCCCAACGAGGCCATCCTCTTAAAGGCAGGGGCCGCATCTTATTCACTTCTGTATCCCCCAGTGGCCCTGTTCCTCACACGAAGTCGACAGGTATTCAAAAAAGTTTCTTTGTGTTGAATTGAATGGGAGATAAAGTAGGGTAAAGTGAAGCCAAATGATAAATAGGCATACACGTTGGAGATCATTCATTCGGTAGACATTTATTGAATGCTTACTGTGTGCCAGGCCTCGCTCTAGGCTCTGAGGACACATCCATGAACAAAACAGATAAAAATCTCTGCCCCTGTGGAGCTTACACTTACGATCTATCATAAGGGATGGGATTCGCAATACATTTACATAAATTCAACCATACCTATCAGCAAAGTGAAAAAAAGAAACATTTAAATAGTTTTAATTATTGGTACTACAAAAGCCTACTGTTGATATGTAGTTTTTTATTATATATTTTACTTACTATTTCATAAAATATTCATACCCATGTATCACTCTACAGGCATTCGAATTATAAGATTATATAGAGATTTTCAAGGATCATTTTGAGCATGCTCGATTCCATCCATAGCACAGCCCTTAAAACCCACCCACCTTCTGAGCTGTGACTCTGTCGTACCACAATGGAAACTCTTGAGACTGTTGGGCAAAGGAGAACCATTTTAAGTATCTGAGCATGAGAATGATGACATGATAAACGCTGGTCGGTTTAGTCTGGTAACAGGGAAGAAGAGATAGTACACTCACACAAATACACACAGTCAATCGACAGTGGAATTCACATCAAGAATTAAAAATAAAACATTTGTGAGCCATTTCCCATTCTTTTAAAACAACTAAAATAGTAGGAGCTTGAGGTCATAAATGTTTGTAATGAACTCTTGATTATAAAATCTAAAAGAAAAAAATCTTAACACATGGGCTTATTCTGACTAAAGGGTTATCATTTTCATATATTTTCCAAAGAGTATTTAAAAAGAACACCGAGTTTAGAAAAACTCATTTTTAAATTTTGCAATAATTGCAAAATGACTGGTATATATTAATACCAATCATTTAACCCTGAAAACATTCTTCACTTGTACAATGTAAAAAAATTTTTGACAGTATGTGACTAGAAATATTCTGTTACCATAAAGCTACAAACAGATTTATGCTCCTAAGAGCAAAGTTAGAAAAGCAAAAATAATATTATAATAGTGATAAGCACCAAGACAGAACTTTTTTGCACTTAGGGCCTGATTGGTTGTATTTAAACATAATCTCTACCAACAAAGGACCAAAATGACACCTTATTTGGCAAAAACAAAGGAAAAAAAAAAAAGGATAAAAGTATACATACAGAAGTCTGGAAACTGAAGAACGCCCACTTTAAAACAATAAAATCGTTCATACCTGTTTTTTAACTAATGTGACATTTGCAAAATATATCCATGTCACTTTTCTTCCTCTTTAGTTCACTTTATACAATTCAGACTGCTCCATTTTTGTTCATGTGTTGTCACACTAGTGTAAGTAAATATTCTGAATTATAGGAGTTTGCTGTAATGAATCCAGACCATTAGAGCCAGACCCAGTAGCTCAAACAATCTTAGTTGCAACTCATTCCAACTAGTGAAACAGATTATTTATCTGTGTAGTTTTAAAAAGCCTTAGGCAGATGAGATATCGTGTGTATGAGACATCGTGTGTGTGTGTGTGTGTGTGTGTGTGTGTGTGTGTGTGTGTATGCATACAAGTTTGCCAGGGCAGTGTGAGAGTGAGTGCATCCCAGAGAGAGGAGTGATATACAAACAACCCAAACAACCGTAACAATGGCCTGAAAGGCTTAGGTAGCCAGACACTGAATTTCCCCCCAAACAAACCTGAGGCTGAGCGATAGGGGAATTAAGGGATCTGTCATCACAACGTGGAATCAGTGACAGGTTCGGAAAACAAAGACTAAGGCGGGATGCCTCCGCCACAACATTCCCGTGACACTGGAGGATGCAGAACAGTGACAGGGATCAGGGACTGACTCTGGCTGCACTGGGAGGGATTCCCTGGGTTTGCAGCTGAGGAGCCCTGGACCTTCCCCAAAGGGCATTTGCAGAGGCCCCAGCACTGGCCTTCCAACTCTCTCAGCGAGGACATCTCAGGGGTCCCAGGGTCTGAGCTTGGGTATCCCCACCTCCCGGTCTTAAAGGTTCTCTCAATACAGATACTATCCCTTCTAGATGCTTGGCCAAAACCCATCACTACCTTCCACTGCCAATTCAGTCTTAGAAAGGGGTTCTCCTTCTGTCCCTTTGGGGTCCCTGAGTTTGAGGTAATGCCAACATACCGTACGCTATGTAGCAGTAACAAAGTCAGGCAGTCCACTGGAAAACTCAAGCAATCTAGATTCAATATATTAGCCGGGTTTTGTTATCTCAGTAATACTTTTTAGTGAGACAGTTTCTCTACACAACTTAGAATGTGTGGGGTAAAGGAAAAAAATATTGCTAGAATATGATAGAAAGATTTTAAAAGTTCAGCCTTGAAACTCCTTCTTTAGGGAACGAAAAGGAGAC